ATTATGTGTATCAAACAATCAATCTCCTCCTCCTGTACCAATTATTATCGATGGGGCAATAGAGTAGTTAGAGAGAGAGAGAGAGAGAGAGAGAGATTTCTATGAATAAATGAGCTACATTTAGTAGCAATGTCCTCCTCGTGGGCCAATTATTATCAATGGGGGGCAATACGAGTACTACATAGAAGTGGGGAATATTAATGGGTTAAATTAGTACCAATGTCCTCCCCTTTGGGCCAATTATTATCAGTGCGACAATAAGAGTAGTTAATGGAGGTGGGGGACACTATAGAGAGATAAACAGAGAGAGATAGAGTAGTGGAGTTAGAGAGAGAGAGTAGTGGGGTTAGGCGGTCAGCCACTACGCTGAACCAGGTCCTGGTTGCTGGCCACAAGACCGGCAACTTGTCACCCAAGTGGGGTTTATGTGGGACCAACCTGCTCCTCCAATTCTAGCCATGAGGGTCCCCTCTCCCATGCATGAGAACTTTGTCCTTCCCATCCTTTTGTCTCCAGGCCTAAGGATATGTCCACTTATTAGCAATTTATTTTGAATTTTGTATAGGGTGAAGTTCCTATAAGGCCCAGGTTGCATGTAAACAAAAAGAAAGCTTCATCTTAAATCCTCACTCAAAAAGCAATTTCGGCAACTAAAACTCCATCATGGTTTTGAAATCAATTTTCAACACCGACAATAAAATTTGAAACTCAAAAAATGGTACAGATCTTACGGTTCTATGCACGTTTATTTTTAGGGTAAAATAGATGGTCTAGATAATTTATTATAATATATATTATTTTTAGCTTAAAATCTTAATTCTTTTTTTTAAAACCATAATGTTCAAGCGAAAATGATCGATGTAAAGGTTTTTCTATGCTTGAATCCTAATTTTCTATGAGTTATAAGGTGAGGCTTTAATTATTTTAATAAAGCTGCAGCCCTATCAAACCATTTTCATTTTGTATATAATACAAATTAATATAACTTTCTTTTTCATATTTTCAACTATGTTCTCATTTTTACTGCAATAATACAACTCTCGTTTGTACTGCAACACTTAAATTCAAGAGTGCACTGTGCAGGAGTCGGCAAAGATGATCTTCATATGAAATTTTGAGATCCACTTAGTAAATAGGATCTTTTCGCATATGAAAATTTGGCAACCACTATAGTGTTTATTAAGGACCCGGTTTCTATGCGGCCAACCCTACATATATAGAAATGAGGGCCTTTAAATAAATCTATTTTTGAGATGGATTTTAAGACTTAAATTTTAACGATATGTAATCTCTAACATAGAGGTATGAATATGAAAAAATAAATAAATTTTTAAAATTAAAAATAATAATTCTAGTAAGAAAATTTGGACCGTTAGTTTTCTATTATTTTTAGATGGAACACCTACTTACATCCATCTTTAAGATGGATGCTTTACACTTTCTGGATCGTATATGTAGAAATGCGGTCCAACCCGCATGAATCAATTTTCTATTTATTAATACAAGTTTATATGATCAGACTGTTTATATTTGATATAAGGAGATCGCCATCATATTTAGATGTTGAATATGAAACTGGGTGGCTAAAGGTGTGCCCTCGACCAAACTCAAATTTCTAAAGAAAATTTTTCCAACTCGTGACACACATGACATTAATGCATTTGAGACATGATACTTTAACATGAATAAGACCTAAATAGATCATCAAGACAAATACATAGTTTACAATATATAATATTTTTAATTAAATTTTTTGTTTCGTAAAGTTGATAGCTAGGTTGATGAGGTTAACCCCCCTAAAAATTGGAATATGAGAGGTACTCTTTTATGGGGTTTTGTCCGAGGGAGTGAATGAACCATGTGCTCCCGCAGGAGCACATAATATTTTGTCTAATTTCTAAACATTGTGCGGCTCCCACTCAATGTTTTCGGTGAACAAATATTGGAGGTTGGTGGGTACAAAGGGCAAACCGAAAAAAGCAAGCCCTAGTATATTATTTAATCGGACGGTCAGTATCCAGGCAAGGGATTTTGCCTGCGGCGGTCTCGACCGTCTGTATCAGATGTGGCCCCCTGTTGGGACTTACGAGGCTCGTGTCGGGACTTCCTCGGATTTTCCCTACAAAGGCAGGGGCAACTTAGTAATTTTTTCCCAATGGGAATCGGGCTCATCTCATCTGGCCCTTGTGATGGGAAGGGTGGTAATGGTTAGCTCGGGCGTGGTTAGGAGTGGCATTGGGCTTGCTGGCTTGGCCCTCATTGGTCAGCCTGGCTCTAAAAAATTAGGGCTTGAGTCCTAAAAAGTAGCCCGAGGACTTGGGCTGGACAACCATGACACGGGGGTAGGGTCAAGGTGGGTTGGCACAGAGAGAGACCAATTGGACCCATCCTGGCTCTCCTTTTATTTTATTTGTTCCAGCCTTGGTAGGGCTAGGGTAGGACCTGGGCCAATACCTCTTTGGCATGGCCAGAGCGGGCCAGTCCAATGGGGGCTAGTACTAGCGTTGGCCAGCCCTAGGGCCGGTATGTTGCTAGCCCTAGGTGTGGTGCATTACATCACGAGATGAGGCCTCTAGCTACAGGCGAGAGATGGGTAGGTTGACCTGTGGACCTGTAATTGGATCCAGGTTTGAACCTCCAAAAACTGTTCAAGACTTGACCTAAGTTGGGTTTGATTTGGATCAGGCTAGGGTCGGGATTGATTCGACATATTAGTATAAAATTCATTTAAGTAATAGACTCCATGTAGTATAAAATAAATAAAATATTATTTATAGATCTAGACCCATCTAGACTTGATGGGTCAGATTCATGTCCAATTAACTTGGACCCAACCCTGGTTTGGGTTTGTCTAACTTAGATCTAGTCAAGTTGGATCCGAGTCGAACTCTAACCTGTTCCCACCTCAGCTTGTTACCACCTCAGCTTGGATCCCCGCTTGTTGTTTGGTGGGTCATGCTCGTCTTTGTTTGATCATCTTTTTTTTTGATGTTATTTTTATTTTACGAATCTTTTGAAAATTTTAATATATGATGAACTTAGACCTTTTTTTTTACATAATATTTTAAAGCTTTTGGGATTTTTTACTTGAATATTTTTTTTATTTTTTTAAAAGTTATCTTAATTTTTTAAATTGTCTTTATATTTTTACCTCATAAATTTTTGTTTTAATTTTAATTAATTAATTTATTTTAAATATTTTTTTTAGACCATTAATGAAACCGAACCAAATCGCGAACCTAACAATCCACCACAAATTTATAGGTGAATGATCTGCCCCACTAATTCAAAATTTAAAAGTTTACTTTAATGGATTGGAGACGGATGAGGTGAGGTAAAAGTCAATTGGGGCATTGATGAATACGTCCTAGCCCCGCCAAGGGAGGGGCTCGAGCCGAGAGCTGCCCTTAACCGCCTGCGGTCCAAGAGTGTGGTGAACACGTGTGGGTCCTCGCGCGGGTGGGGGGGACCCAATCATTTCGCAGGCACCCTGGTGCCCCGACAGATCCCCTTATCTGGAAACCTGCCGGAGCGGCGGGCAGTCGCCTTCCTTATCGCCAATTTTTCACCGTCGATTGCCTTTGCCGACAGCGTGGAGGATTGCGGGCCGTCGAGTGACATGACAGATGAGAGTGATGTGTAGTGCATTTCGCCTTGCCAAACGGCGGTCAATGGCGGCCGGACCGCACACTGCACCTGGGGAACCCCACTATCTTTTTCTCTCTTTTCTCTCTCTCTCACTCTTGATTATAATTTTCTCTCTATTTATTGTTTCATGCTCTCTCTCTCTCTCTCTCTGTAAATTATTTATAGACTTTGCGTCCCTTGGCTTCTCCCTCCTCTTTGGTCTCTCTCATGCCTCAGTCTCAGTCTCTCTTTTGAGAGGCTTCGTTACCTCCTTCATGCCTCTCTCTCTCTCTCTTACCTCTCTCTCTATGCCTCTCTCTCTCTCTCTCTTATTTGAATTTTAGTTTCTCTCTTATCTGTTTCATGCCTCGGTCTCTCTTTCTCTTACAGCAGGCTTTGCAACCCCCCTTCTCTCACCTTTCATACCTGACTCACTCTCTCTCTCTCTTAATTCTCTCTCCTCAATCTCTCACTCTCTCCGCCCTGAGTTGTCTTCATCTCTCTGCTCTTTTTCACACCTCAATCTTTCTCTTAATTGTTTAAACGCTTCGCCTTCTCTTTTCATAACCAGCTGCACCCTTCTCTCCTCCTACGTCTCGCCCTCTCTTCTTCTTCTTCTTTTTTTCTTTCGCTCTCTCTCTCTCTCTCTAGATCGCAAAGGAAGGTACTAATCCCCATCTCTCTCTACGAAAACCCTAAAATATCTCTCTCCTAAAACCCATGACCAAAAACTACAATTCCCCAGTCCTCTGCTGAAAAATCCAGTCAGTAAATCTCTCTCTCTCTAAAGAAGAAGAGGTGGAGAGATGATGGTGGTCTCAACTTCCCTTGATCTTACCATGGCCATGCCTGGTTCCTCTGCTTCTGGTACTCCTCCCACTTCTGGTAAGCAATATCAACATCTCCATGACCTTGATCTCTTATACAACTATTTTTTTTTCCTTTTTTTTGGGGCAACAAATGGGTTCGATATAGAATTTTCTCAGGTGCCTGCAAGGATTGAAATAACTTTCTGTTTTTTTTTGTAGAACTGCTAATTTTTCCAAGGGGTTTTGACATAAATGAGCCTCCTTATGAAGATGCACGAGCAGTGAGTGCAGAGGAAGATGAGGAAAGTGGGGGTGGTGGTGGTCCACCAAGAAAGAAACTTCGCCTCACCAAGGAACAGGCTCGTTTGCTCGAGGAGAGCTTCAAAGAAAACCATACCCTTAACCCTGTAAAACTCTCTCTCTCTATAAAATATTTCTCTCTCAATCCTCTGACTCTCTCTCTCTCTTCCTCTCTCAATCTTGCAATTCTCTCTACAATCTCCCTCTCTCAATCTTGCGACTCTCTCTACAGTCTCCCTCCCTCTCTCTCTAAAATCTTTTATGAGGGATCACCAAATGGCATGGACAGTGTTGGCAATTTATATATTGGAAAATATGTAAAAACTTTCTGGAGTTGTTTTGTCGAAGGGCTCCGAAGGAAATAGCTTAACTTTCTCTCTAATGAATTCTGCGTGATTTTTTTTTTCATATCAACTTCGTTAGAGAGAGATTTAGAGAGAAACAAAGTTTAAGGTATTCCCTCCTCTAACATCCTTCTATATGGCAGATTTTTTATGATTTATCTTATAGAAACTTAGGTTGGGCTCTTTTCTAGAGAGAGAAAGGTTTAGTGATTTTTTATCATTCTGGTTTTCTGGAGAGAGAAAAGGTTAGTGAGTTTTGCTCATTTTGATTTTTAGAGAGATAAAAAGTTTAGTGATTTTTAGTTATTTTGGTTTTTAGAGAGAGAACTGTGATTTTTTGTCTTTTTGGTTTTCTAGAGAGAGAACAGTTCAGTATTTTTTGGTCATTTTTGTTGAAACAGACGAGCTCAATGGTTTTCGTTTTGGTTTTTTTTTTTTGCAGAAGCAAAAGGAAGAGTTGTCCATCAAATTGAACCTCAGATCTCGTCAAGTGGAAGTGTGGTTCCAAAATCGTAGAGCTAGGTAGGCACCTTTTCCTTCTTTTTTCCTTCCTTTTAAGCTTCATTAGGATTATTAATTGGTTATAAACGGTGATGAACAAGCTTCATTAGGTTTATTAATTGGTTATAAATAGTGATGAACAAGAACAACCAATAATCAACCATTTGTCTCTTGTAGAAGAATGTTACAATCAATCTCATCCCTTTAATTTCAAAATGAGCAGTTGTAAGAGGGTCATTTAATAGGCAAAAATCCAAAAAAAAAATTCTTGGATTTGTAACTCACCCCAAACCATCGAATAGGATACCTAAAGGGTAGGGAATAGTTGTGACCACTTTGTACAAAACATAAACATGATATATTTTGCATAGAGCAAAGGCTCTAACCTATGAAAGTAAAACACACCTTCAAATAGTATCGAGAAATGTAGTTTCGGTATTGGAAATTTTTGTGATAGCCTTAAAATATATTTTTATCTTTAATTATAAAATTTAAAACTTCGTAAACAATGTAGATCCAGCAGACCTACGAAACCTTGAAAATCTTGAAAATTGATGGTCTAAAAATGCATTACAAGATGCGTTATTTCCAAAACTTGAAATTCATGTTTTTCTCATGTCCATCTTCTTGAGGTCGAGATGATCAATTTGAGGATATTTGGGCATCAAAATAACCTCTTCCAGTGAATTTTTTGGGGTGCATCTTAATTTGATTGTTTAGAGCCTCACACTTACATAAAAATTTTCCTAAGATAAATGGTATCTTTATAAATAATCTCATTAATAAAGCCGATATATACCCAATAATAAAATAAAAAGTAATTGCCGACTTCACTAGGTTTACTAAACGATTCTAAATGATGAAATCATGCATAATTTCCTCAATAAATACCCAATAATTATTAGGTGAAAAAATGAAAGCCCTAATCAATGAAAGAAATTGCACTCTAGGGGACTTACTTTTTTTTTCTCAATTAAATCAATAAATATGATAATAATGAAGGAAATATTATTCTCTAATAGAGGAACTTATAGGGAAATATCTAAAAGTTCTTGAATTATTTTGCTAATACATAATTGTGCGAGTGATAATATCCTATGACTACTAGGCAATAATCAATGTATAGCCCAATAAATAAAAAGTATTTGCATTGAAGGCCTATTAAAATATCGAAGGCTAGAATTAAAACGGTGAAACCCATGAAAATTGGCTGATTTCGCTCATGACATTTAATATGTTTATGAGAGCTTTCATGGATCATTGAATGCGTTATTAATTCAAAGGATGAAGGTTCTATAAAAAAAGTATTTCAAATCCTCATCGTGAAAGCACTTTCAGCAACGGAAATTTTTATGGCTCTAAAGTCAATTTTCAACACCGACGATAAAATTTGAAACTCAAAATATGTATAGATCTTGCGGATTTGTGAACGGTTATTTATAGGGTGAAATGGATGGTCTAGATAATTTGTTACAATATACGTTATTTTTAAAGTTTGAAATCTTAATTTTTCTTCACAACCATAGTGTTCAAGCCAAGATGATCGATATGAAGATTTTCCAATGCCCGATGTACAATTTTTCGATGAGTTATGAGCTGAGGATTTAAATAGCCATCAAACCATTTTCTTAATCGAAATTCTAACATGCTATGCTTACATGAAGTATGGTTTTGGGTTTTGGTCTTGGCAAATCATGAGAAAGACCCCAACCAAAAGCTGTTTTGCTTATACATTTTAGGACAAAAGCATCATAACGATTTGGACCATGTAGTGCACTAGGATATGCTTTAACCGGCATATTGCACCTTTAATTTGTTGGATTTTAAAGATCGCAAGGAACTACCCTTGTACAACCCGAGGATATGAGAGAGAGAGTGTGTAGATGGACAATGTAGGGTCACACTCAAAGTTTCACGAGACATCCACTTGAGCTTAAGACACTCTAATTTTCTTCAAGTATATTTACTAGTGTTATTATGATTGGCCACTCTTTGAATCTGTGAAGGGGTTCGGTCCAATCAAAATCGATTGGATTGAGTTTACGGGAAAAAAAAAAAATATAAATATGATAATTTAAAATATAAAATATACTAAGAAGAACTTGCCTGTCGTCATTTAATTGGTCGAACAGGTTAAAACTGTCTAGTCAAACTGGCTTAAACTAGTTAACATCGGTTTTGAGTGGTTTTCGAACAAGCCTCATTTTTTTCCTTGGGCCAGACCATATGAGGCACAAGTCAACGGTTTGATTAGTCGGACAACTAGTTTGATCCGGTATTAATAACTATGACATTTACTACAATATAAACGTTGTCCGCGAGATAATTGCATCAAATATTTGTTTTTCGCTCTATGAAGGAGCCAACTCATTGACATAGAACTAGTGTTTTCAGGATCGGACCCGCTATCAAACTAGTACCGGCTATCAAAGTAGTTCGGGTTTCAGTCCTCTCAAGACTGGTCCAACTATTGGTTGAACCGATGGTGACTAGATTTGAAAAAAAAGAAAAGAAAAATAGATATAATAGTTTAAAAACATAAAATATATTAAGACGTATTTGCCCAACTTCATTTAGCTTGCCGAGCCGGATAAAATTGGCTGATCCAACCAGCCTAAATCGGCCAAATATTGATTTAGACCAATTTTCAGATTTCATTTAGACTGGCTGAGGCATCGGTCGGTGGTTTGATTGGTCAAACCAACAATTTGGTCCGCTCTTATTACCCATGCATAGAATAAGTAGGAATTCAAAAGGACCTCTTATGGCAAAAGATTTTATACTCCCATCGGAGCACAATGTACATTTATTGTATCTCGCTGAGGAAGTTTTTATTTATTTAAAACTTGGGAACTTCAGTAAGGCACCTACCACCTTGACCGTTCAAAGCCTAGAGGCCATTCCTCCAGCCAGGAATAATTTTAGGGCCCAAATTTTAGGGATGTGATTTTTTCAACCTAGCGATCAGCTCAACAAGTAAAACGATGCGCCTTTTCCATATGCTTGAATGAATAACATCTAGATTGAATGAATAACATCTAGATTGAAGAAAGACTGTCCAATTTTTGAATTGTTAGATCTAAGTACCAAATGTTCAAAACTAAATTTTCTTTTTTTTGTTGAACATGCTTGTATAAAAGTTATATCAAAATTTCATGTCAAAAGTAAAATCCTTGCCTGTCTTTTGCTTGAGGAAGTAAGTATGTAATGTGCTCCAGCCAGAGTG